AAATATTTTCTAGCTTTGTACCATTATACATGGTTGTAATTTCAGGTAAGTTTACCTAGATTTTTAAGTTATCCTAAACCATCATAGTCCGAATTTTTAATATATACTTTCAAATTCCATTCCACCGCATATTAAACATTAAAGTCGTCTATACACATTATACAGTCGGCCATGTTGGCGATGTATCTTTATATTGCCCAACTGCAAACTATGCTTCCTTGGTAGTTCGTAACGCATGTGTAATCAGTACATTTAACTTTGTAGCAATGTGGCTATATACTATTTTGTTAATAGCTAGTATATTTGCATATTGGGGTGGATGTTGCCCAAGTGAAGAAGATTTTAAAGTCCATTCAAGATTTTTGTCAAGCGTCAATCTTGGTTCTAAAGATGATAGTGAGGCGTTATTGAGAAAATTTAATTGAGAAATTTATCATGACGAACTTATATAAATTTAATACATATACACATGGAAATATATCTAAAACGAAAATAAGTTTATTGTATTAACATTTAAGCTTGTGAATTAGCAAACTCTTTGTCATTGTATGTCTGGTGCATGTTGGAGACGTTTTATCTTCTAACGCGTGAAAGAATATTAATTTTTTTGTTACCTCTTTTCCGTAAACCACGCGATAATTGACAAATTAAATCGTAATATTTAGTTAGAGATAATGATTTATCAAATACTAAAGTATCTTATTTGCACTCAGTTATTTTGAGAGATAAGTCTTGTCAAGGCTTATATCTAGTGTTCCGCAATGAGCCGGCTTAAATAGGTTCACAGGAATTATAGTTCAGTTCATTTTTGGCACACTAAGCTTGCAAGCACAGTGGTATAAACTACTGGTTTACAAGCTTAGTGAGCCAAAAACGGAACGACCATTTCTTAAATGGTCAATGTAACTTCAAATCTACTACAATACAGACTACAATCCAATACTATAACTCAGGGTGGTCCTCGGATTTTAAAGTCGGAAAACCTCACGATCATGCTATTGAATTATCCGAATGATTTTTTGGATTTTGGCTGATTCGGTTAAGTTAATGATTCAATACATACGTATTACGTAATTTAAGGTCAGGTGACTAAAATAAATTTTATAGAACTACATACCTTCGCTGGCAAAAAAAATTTAGAAGGCTTGTTAGTTCGAAACATTGCCAAATACTTTTAGTTGTTAGCAAATCTATAAGTCGACGGATGTTGAAAAACTTCCGTAACACAAATATTTTTTTGGAATGTCGAATTAAAATTTTAAACCAGTCGATAAATTTTCGATCATATCTAACTTTCGTGTAATATGTTTATTATAAACATCTAATTTATGCAGTGCCTTTTTTATATTTCTTGTCAAAAAGATTTATTGATTGACAAGAAAGACTTATCCGTAAATTTTCGTACAAACAAATATACCAAATACATTAGGCAAGTATTCAAACGAAAATTTAATAATGTTGAATGAGTTGATATTATTATGATAAAATTATTTGTAGAACAAGTAATATAAACATATACCAATCATGCCGAAATCACAAACTTAATCGAATCGGCCAAAAATCATTCGGCTAATTTTTATCAGGTGTTCCTAGAATCGACAACTGATCTAGCTATAAAAATTTCACTAAAAAAATTTCGCTGTTAGATTAAGGTTAGGGTTTGCTATTAATTTAGGTCAGAAAGAACCAAAATTTCGCAAGGAAAACTTTTTGTTGCCTGATCTTGAAATCTGATTGGCCAGTGAAAGTTTTTAGGTTGGCAATGCTAGGACAGTTGTTCCTAGGAGTTATGATAATAGCTGTAAGGGATAATTCCTGTATGCTATTTAAACCGGCTCACTGCAGAACACTAATTCATGTAATAAATATACAGTATTTATTAAACCACATCTTTTAAATAATAATATGGGAAATGGACTAGGAAAACTAGTCTTCGATTGATTTATTTATAAATTTTTATGCGAACAAGGTCATATGCTTGTAATCAATTAAATTGACAATCTTCTGATTGGTTGTTATTCTATTTTTAGAGCACTATGTCTTCGAAGAATTGATTTTCAAATCTAAAAATCTCAATATTTTATTAAGCTAATATAAAATAAAAAGTATGCTTCATATAAACAAGAACCAATATTTTAATTTGAATTGAAAATCCTAAAATCGACCAAGAAGTGCCGAAGGTTGGTTTTCCTAGTCCATTCACCATATACAATATATAGTCGGACTATTTATTGCTAAACTTATTTTTTCTATATTCTAATTGAGACATTTTTATTATTTTCTCTTACTGTATTCCCTTTTTAACAAATATCTTTTGCTCTATTGCCTTTTCTGCAAATATCTTCTTCCATCATGGTACCTTCTCCATAAAAATTTTGAAGTTTGAAAATTTTCTTTTTTGCGGTTGTATCTTAGAATTTATGTATACATTTGAATAGGATTTATGGGTTAG